TATATTATGAGCCTTGTATTAAATTCTCGAATCTTAGAATTAAAAAGAAAAACTTTTATAAATTTTGATCTAAGATAATTTAAACATTGCCGTAATTTTTATGTATTTAGTCAAAATTTGAACTGAAAATGCTTATAAAAAAAATGTCTGATTATGTATTCTTATAATTTTTTAATCACTATAAGAATAACTTAAGAGGAACTTTGTATTCAATTTTCAAGTATTTTGATAGGGCCAAAAAATTTTTATCGACACTTCAAAAAATAATTTTCAGACAAATTTAATTCGACTAGTTATGCTGTACACAGACACAAAAAAAAAACACACATCATTGTAAAATCAATACATTCATCACTTCGTTCAGAATCTAAAACCACACATAATATACTTGTGTGTCATCGTAAATAGGTAGACGTTTTTAAACGGGATTTATTACTTTATTAGTTATTTCTCAACTCGCAGAAGGGTGTCGGACTGGCAGTTTTTATACACCACCACACCGGGTTAGGTTAAGTTAGCCACAAAACCATCTCAGAAGACGGGTCATGTCTGCCTCCATCTCTCCGAGTACTGTCTATAAATGCCTGCGTGGATAGCTTATATAAACTTTAGATAACAATAGTCACCAATACTTACTATATGGGCAATGGATATTTATATTTTATATTTTTTCTAGATAAAGATACAAAAACATAATTATTAAAAATAATAACTATTTTAACCCTCCCCCCCCCAAGTAAAATACGAATAATTTTTTATGGAATATTATATTTAGGTAAGTATATCATATTATGCGTTTTGTCGGTCGGTTAGGTTAGGTATATATTTAAAAAAAATGTATTGTGCTTTGTGCATGCCTTTAATTTTTAAATATAATAAGAAGAATAGGTACAATTGTATAAACATTTTTTTTTTTATATATGTATATAAAATATGGTAACCCCCCACCCCCGCCACCATTAAAGAATTCTGCGTACGCCACTGACATGTATTATTATTTAAATTACTAATACCTACTTTTTTAGAGCAAACAACTTTTAAAAATAATAAAATAACAATAATGAAATGTAATTACATTTCATCTAAACCTATATTATCCATAATAAACAAAGTAACAAATAAAAATTAAAAAATAAAAATAATAATAATTTGTTTAACAATTTACAGTAAAAAAATGTTAACTAGGTATCATACGTGATTCACGAAAAACTCCTTAAATGGTAGATGAAAGTTTTAAAAATTTGAAAATATGGTTCTTAAATACTCTCATGGACGCAATTTCAATAAAAAAAAAACTAAGGATGATTAAGCTATAGGTACATATTCTCATTTTTTTTTTAAGTAGAAGTTTTTGATATATAAACACTAACATTATTTGAGGGTGCTAATTTCAAAATTGGGGTTGCTAATACCCCCTTAACCTTAAGCTTCCCCCCATTTGCGTCAATATACATTTCAAAATTCCGAAATTTAAAATTTGAATAAATTCATTAGACAGATATTACTTATTATTGACAATTGACAAAGGGAGAGTTATTAGTTTGATCGGTGAATCGTTCTGCACATAATATATGAGGTGAGTACATGAAGTATATTACATCAATTATAATCCTATACTATATGTAATTGCCGATTGGCGTTAGTTAATTAACAAATAAATAATAAATAAATCCAACATCAAAATTGAACAACATAATATTATTATATTTTAAGTAAATTAATGTGTATTAACCATATTTAGTGGGACTACGACGGCGGCTACTCGACCAACTACAGCGAAAATGAAATAGATCTCGCTACCGTGTTGATGAACTTGAAGGAAGACTACCCCTCGCCGGACGGAAGTTGCAACGACCACCACGAACCTTCGTACTATGATTCGACGACGACGGGCGACGATCACCAGCATCATCGCCACCATCAACTGCTGCAGTGGCAATACCCGTCCGACGAACAGCCACCGCACGTACTCGTGTACAACTCGCTGGACCACCCAAATACCGAGAACTGTCTACTACCCTCTATATTAGGTAAGTGTCAAGTACCTGGGCTGGATTGGACATATTTGATCTGCCGAGTTTTTTGTGATTTATCGGTCCACTTACAAATTTACTCTCAACAACACCTACCACCATGTATACTATGGTCTGTGCAAGTCCAACATTTAGACTCAATTTTTTCAATTATAAACTCTTAACACATTTTCATTTAACAGCCTCGTGACTCAAACGGCCCAAAATTTTCGCGGTTCACAAAGTGTTACTCGATAATTCGTCAGACTTTACTGTAGACATTTTATACTTGGTGGGGTGAGTTACTGTATTATAAGGCTTACAGATTTTGCTATAAAAGTATATAATCTCCCCTCCTAAAACAAATCCATAATTACGCCACTGGTACTTGCCTATTCCTATATACATAGGTATGATTAGGACTACTAGGAGAGTACTATCTCGTCGCACCTCTGAGAATTATCGGTATAATTTTTAGGCCATTATCTAGTCTATATCCATCGTATCGTTGTATCGGTATACTTTTTAAGTGTTTAACATATCAGAGTAAAAAACATGTAATAAAAATTATCTTTGTAAATAAAATTTAGTAATTCAAAATTTGATTTTTGGAATTTTTAAATATAATTAAAAGTTAAAGACCATATTTTTAAATTCCTTGAAATTTGTTTTATCCAACTGTTTAAGGATAATTTCTTAACTGTACTCTTGTAGTGATATAATAAATTATTTTTCTCTAACAGAAACCAGCTATCTCTTCTTATTGTGAATTATTTATATTCGAACGAGTAGTTTTTGAGTTATTTAATTTGGAGTATACTAAGGACACAAATAAATCCAGAATGATGACGGGTATGGAAGATATCTCGGGGAATATTATATTCATTTTACAGTTTTGTAAAGCTATTTCCTAATATCCGAAGAATAATTTAATAACTGAGAGCTAAGAAGTTACTCGTTGGAATTCTCACTTAGAAACATAAAAAAAATTTTAAAAAAAGTTATCCAATAAATAATTTAGATTAATTAGAAGAGAGGTTATCGTATGAAAAAATAAAAATAGAAGATTATTATGGTCTGTACCATAAAGAATTTGAAAATATGAGATGGTCTTTCGAGTGGCACTATATGTTGAAAGATTCAAAAAATCATGTTTCGAATAAATTCACCGTAAACGAGACAAAAACGGCATGGTGAACATGATAACGTGATGCGTCACATATACAGAATCTCCCACAGAGATCTGACATTCTGACAAATGAAATAACTTTTGTT